GTTGTGTGTGTGTGTGGTGGTGTGGTGTGTGATGTGTGTGTGTGTGTGTGTGTGGCGAACACAACAGTACGTTTGTCAGTGCACATGTGTGCGTGTGTACGTGTGTGTGTGCGTCCGTGTGTGTGTGTGTGTGCAGGCAAACGAGCTAGCATGTCGTCGCTTTGAGCTGCAACAGAAATAGAAACACGCACGAAGGTGCACACGTCATCTATCGCACGAAGGTAGGTGCTACACAAACACATTACATCCCCCTTATACCTTGCGCGCGGGTGCTCCAAGTTGCAGTTTGCGAGGTGCCGGTGAGGTACACTTGATCAAGGCCATCCACAAAGACATCGACGTCAGTGGATTCTCCTTCACGGAGCGAGATGGCGATGGGGTCGTCTTGTGCATTGCATGCTGCTGTCGCCAGTAGCGTGCACACCAGAGTGGCGCCAAGCAGCAGCCGGGCAAACCGACCAACTGCTGTTCTCATCCTGTTGACGTGTATGAGCGCTACACAGGCAGGGTAATGGGAAATGGGAATGTGAGCGTGAGAGCGGGTAATAGGGGGGGGGGGGCATGATCCTATGATCGGGTGGTTGGGTAGCGATTGTGCATGGCAGGATGATAGGTAACGCGTAGGGCGTGGCAATGGAGCAGCAGTTTGTGCGATGATGCGAGGCGGGCAAAACACCTCCGCTATATGCTCACCTTTCTTCCGAGAAGCGTCACCACAAAACAAACGGGACAACAAGCACCCAGTTGCTCGTGCGGCGCTGGGTGACGTCGGGATGGGGATGGGGATGGGGATGGATTGGTGGGTGTTGAAAGTGAGTGTGTGTCGTGGTATGTGTGTGTGTGTGTGTGTTTCGTGGTATGTGTGTGTGTGTGTGTTTGTGTGCGTGGCTGTGTTGTGTGTGATTGTTGTTTGTGGGTGGGGCGTCGATGGTTTTATTGCTCAAAGTTGGGGAATAGGGGAAGGGGCGAAGAGGAAAATTCACACACATCATTCACGAAAGGAGGGAGTGGGCTAACGGTAATTTGAAGTTGGCGGCAATAGTGTTGTTGTTGTTGTTCTGTTGTCGCTGTGGTGGTGCTGCGTTTCGTTGAGGTGAACACGAATGCGGCAGCACTACCAGCAAGCGCATCATGTGCTAGTTACATACTTCTTCTTCTCCATGTTGTTCAGACAGTGAGTGCTTGCCAATCGTTTTCCGAGTTGGCGACACCGCACCAACAATGTGTGCGTGTGACTGAACATGCAACGGGCTCTCTGGATTGCTTGGATTGGGGGGTTCAATACGAAGAATAGAAAGCAAGATGGAAACCTGCGTTCAGATCGATTAGGAACGAAAAAGGGAAAGGGAAAGGGAAGAAACAGCGCAAGCAACAGTGAAGAGAGGGGAGGGGGGAGGCACGCCACCATGAGGGGCGTGAAGAAAGACAACGCGCAGCAGCGCAAAGCGAGAGAAAAAACGACGCAAATGAGAAACACAACACCAACTAGTTGGAGGGGGGGGGGGAACGACATCCAATCACGCCAAATCTCGTCGTCTGTTCACATGTCGATACACACATACACACACACACACACACACACGAATGTAAAGAGACAACACAACGCATGTTTGACGCCAACAATCACAGGTCGTCGTTGTCGTCGAGGGAGGATGGCACTCCAACGAGGCCGCATGTTGCATCCTGCATGTCATTGAAGATGTTCAAGGCGGCCGAGGCAGAAAATGGGGCTGCCTTGGCTGTCGCTGATGGTGCCGTTCCAAAGCAGAACGGGTCTGGTGCAAACTCATCCAGACTCAAGTCCAGCGCGTCATCCGAGCCGTTAGCATCACCAAACGCTCTGCACACACACACACACACACAAGTGTGCGTGAAGCAGTGTTTCATCCACGAATTGTGGAGTGGTGTTGCATGGCAGATGAGAGCGTGTACGTGTTGACATGTGGGATGCCTTCGCGTCGCCGACACACACACACAGACAGACTCACACGCACGCATACTCACGCACACACACACACACACACACACACACACACACCTTGCCAGCTTGTCCTGGAATGGGTCTGGGATGTGCATGTCATCGTCGTTCATGGGCATCCTCTCAACAGGCTTGTCCCACCATGCTCGCGTTTCCTTCCGCTGCTGCTGTTGCTGTGTTGCTTTCATCGTGCTTGCAGGCATGGCCAGCCCCTTGGTGGCGTTGGCCTGCTTGAGGGCGCCTGGGCGGAGGGCGAGCTTGCTACTGCTGCTGGTGTTGGGGTTGATGGAACTGTTGGTGCCTGACTGGTCAGCGCGCACACCAAGCTTCTTGGACGCCTTGCGCGCCGATGGGAAGCCGGGCGTCTTGCCGGCCTTGAGCACGTGGCTGTTGTTGCTCACATCGCCCAGTGCACGCCGCGGCGTCGCAGCCACAGTCTTGTTTGGGAAAGGAGTGGGTGAGGGGAAGGTGTTGAAGTGGAGGGAGTGAGAGACGCAGTATGTGGTCGCGTATGAAGTGCGT